TCTCATCAAGAATTGAACTCGTCCACAAATTCAACACCAAGTTATTTATTTGATTCTTTGTGTTCCGTTTCTCAGCTAGATTGCTGATTCTTAACATCGAAATAAACAGCTGTCCTGATCCCATGTGCCACATCCTTCTCCAAAACACAGCATCTGATTCCCAAACGGTGTGTGATGCAGACGCCCTTCTGGTTCAGGGGGGAGTGCATCTTGACCCTGACCAAAGTGTATGAATTTCCTCTAATGATCTGGCATCCAGGGGTTTTTTAATGGAGGTTCAATATTAGCAAATCCCAACGCTATTTTGGCCATCTACATCCTTCAGTAATTGTATGTGTGTGTGAATGTATACTCTGAGGGATGTTTCCTTGTCCATGAGTGTACATCAGCGAGTGACGTCTGATTGTGTGTTAGTATACATCACTAAGTGATGTGTGTTCGTGTCTGGGAGCGTACATTACTAAGTGACGTGTGTTTACATGTATTAATGTATATTACTGAGTGACATGTGTTTGTGCATGTGTACATCACTGAGCTAAGTATGTCTCTATGTGTTAGGGTTCATCACTGAATGACGTGTGTTTGTGTGTGTGTACATTTCTGAGTGACGTGTGTTTGTATGTGTGTACATCATTGGGTGACGTGTGTTTGTGTGTGAAACTGTGCTCAAGCAGTCAATACCCGCTTAAAGACCTGTTGTCAAGCATGACTACTCGGTCACTAGGAAATATGAGTGTGATTCAGAGCTGATCTAACCAAGCAATAGCATATATCATGTGACAGGCATAATACAGACCTTCTGTTAGTTTCTGTGCTTGTGAGTCTGTATGTCTCAGATGAGCGTGTGTCTCAGTGTAGGCTTGTATGTGTCTCTTTATGAGTCTGTATTTGTTTCAGTGTGCCAGTGTTCTTCTGAAGCTGTTCTTGTTTGTACATCTGTCTGCATGTTTCTGTGAATCTGTGTGTATGTGAATGTCGGTGCATGTATCTGTCTCAGCATTTTTGTCATGCAGTGTATGTGTGTGAGTTCATGTGTTTGTCTTGCACATGTATTTACCCGTCTTTTTAAAGTATCTGTATGTGTGTGTGTGTGTGTGTGTGTGTGTGTGTGTGTGTGTGTGTGTGTGTGTGTGAGAAAGAGAGTTTGCATGTGTGTGTGCCAGTATGTGTGTGATAGAGGGGGACAGAGTGTTTGTGCGTGGATGTGAAAGAGAGAGAGTACATGTGCATGTGTGTCTGTAGATGCGTGTGAGTCTCAGTGTATGGGAAGTATTTTCAGAACCTGCAGATCGAGATTGATCGTATCTCCATGTGTGCAGTCTTTACCAGTGCACTCAGTTTAATTCAATCACTACTTCCCAGCATTTCCAGATGAACTGCAGATGGAAAAGGGAAACAACCATGTAAGGTCTCTTGTCGTATTGCCATCTTGATTTTGGTTAAATTTTCCACTGAAACTTAACTTCAACTGTATAAATCTCTGGCTCATTCAAGTAATCATGCTGAATTTACATGTTTACATTATTTACAATAAAACTTGCTCATTTCTGCGCAAGTACAAATTTGTGTTCATTGGAGTAATAACCATGTGTTAATTTGCATTATAAACTTGTGTTCATTTGTCGAAAAACTTTTGTGCTCATTTGTTCAATAAACCTATGTTTATTTGTGCAATAACCATGTATTGTGAAAGCTCCAGATTTGAAGCTGAAAGATTGTGCCTTCCCCCTCGCTCCTTGTTCCAGCATAGGGACAGCAGCTGCCCCATTAGAACAATGACATGTGGAGACTGAACTGCAAGTGTCACAGTCCCCAGTCCCTGGGACACATCCCCAGAGAGATTACGATCACAGAAGGAGGCCACCTTTCAAAATCATAGGATACCAGAGGGCAGGAATAGGCCACTTGTGCCATCGATTCTCGGTGGGCTATTCAAAGGGACAGTGCAGTTAGTTACATTTGTCCCAACTCTTACAATGAGTCTTCCCAATCCCACCCATTGGAACAACCATCTAACTCCATTTGAACATTATCATTGCATGTCCTTCAGTTTCTGAGGTATTGTGATGTTCCGGCTCTGAGCACAAGGTTTCTAAAGAATACGAGACTATGGCAAACCATTTGATCACTGTAGCGACAGTAACAATAAGAGTGAGGTCAGAGGAAGGTAAACCACAACTCATTTTCACAGTGTTAAATAGGCGTATTCTGAAAGGGAAAGGTCCAAGAGAACAGTTTCACAGCTTCTGTCAAATTGTAAGTACATAAGGTGAGCCTGATATTTGGCTGTGGGTAGAAGAGATAGGATATAGACTGGGTAGGGTTAAAGCTGGTGAGGGGCTTTGGGTTCAATGTTAATAGGTTGCCATTTGGTATTGATGCAAGCTGGGGACATTAGATTCCGAATGTGGTTGGACTGAGAATGAGGTCAGCTGTGTATCTGGATGGACAGTGACAATAGGTAAGTGGTCATTGATGCATCTGGATGGACAGCGCCAATAAGACTGCAATCAGTGATGTTCTTGGATGGAGAGTAACAATAATGTGATGCCAGTGATGTATCCATTGTTAGAAGCCCATCTTGTTCATTGAGTCTCCTTTCCTCAGGAAATGCAGTATGTTCTTCTCGCTTGTGTATGTTCTTCTCACTTGATCCTCATGTGACTCGAGATCCTGGGAAATTGGGGACAGGGAATAAATGCTGACCTCGACAACAATGCACACATTAGTGTGTGAGATGAATCACATATCAATCAGTGAGTGAAATCTTCTTGTTTAAAAACCTTGTGGTTTAAAGACGGCTGTTCCTACCCTACAAAGTAGAAGAACAGCGCTGAGATGTATTTTCATACTTGGAATAAAGTGAATCGATGCATCATCAGTTGAAATAATTTGTGATCTTAGATGGTGTCATGGTGTTTGAGGGAACGGCGCTATTGCTAGCAGATTTCAAAATCTGATTTTTGTTATTTCATTATGATGCAGTGAGCAGCAAAACTCCTTCAAAATCGGGATTAAACTCGTTATTGTAAATAGTTTTTTTTTCATATTCAGAAATTTGTAAAACAGCAACAAAGCTGAGCAACGCTGCACCCTCGATTTCCCAAAGGAGCTTCCACACAGTATAAGGCAACGTCTCTGGGACTGCATCAGCTCAGAGTTTCAAATAAAGAGCTTGTCAGCTGCCTGAAGGGACAAGTCACCTCGCACGGAAAAATGCATCAAGCAATTGACCATGTGGTGAAAGTGTTCTACACCATCCTTGCATTTATTGACACTCCTGGTATGGCATTATAACGGTTGAACTTGTTTTAATCTGTTTTGATCTGCTTTCTGGTTTTATGCTTTTAAAATAACATCTCCAGCTCACTGATTGGTCAGCCTTATCCAGTGACAGCAATTCACTGAGCAGCATTCTCGGTACAATTCTCCACTGACAGACACTCTCAGTTTCACTGCTGCTTCAACATTTTCTGACCTCAACGTCTGTCATCTGTTCCGTTTTCATGCGATTTGAAGGTATGAGGTGAGATCAGGCAAGTTAGTTCTGAAGAAGGATCACTGGACCCAAATCATGAGCTCTTCTTTCTCTCCCACAGATGCTGCCTATCCTGCTGAGAAATTTCTGTTTTTGTTATACAAAAGAGGCCTGTTTTCACTATAACTTGAAGGCGAAGGGATAATCGGCTCATAGTCTTCAAAATATTAACAAGGAAAGACAGGGTCAATAAAGATGAACTATTTCCACCGTCGGGGATTCTACAATCGGGGGCACAGTATAATAATTAGGGACAGACTGTTCAGGAGAGACGTTTGGAAATATTTCAACACACAAAGGGTGGTGTATATTTGGAACTCTCTTGCAGAAAGGGTAGTGGATATTGGATCAGTATTTCATTTTAAATCGGAGATAGATTTTGTTTTTGGTTAAGTCAAGTAATTAAGGGATATGCACCCCATTTTGATTTTTGAAGCTTCATCTAACTGCCATCCTGTCTGGAAATTCTCTCCTCACTGGCTCTAGTCAGTGAATTCAAATCTTGACAGATTGCACTCCTGATCCCTGCACTTCGAGATATTTATCATGTTCAAATATGCAGCTTTACAGTGGAAATGTCACAGCAGTCGTAACATTCATACGTTGTCACTAAGGGAGCCCTTCATACTCTGTTATGCTGCACTTGAGTAAGACACATTAAGTTGTCTTATTCGAAATCTAATGCAGAAACTGATGACCTGATTCTGGGTCCTGATGTGGTTCCTATCAGGATTTTGTCAAATGCTAAGAGCACCGGCAACCTGATCCAAGGAGAAGGGGAGAGTTTGGCTTATCGACAGTCCAATCGAAAGTCCAATCACCGGCCCTATGAGTAAGCTGGGAGTAAGGTTTTTAATGGTGTTCTGTACCTGCCAGAGCTGGAGCTGAGAATGGTTAGAATTTATTACACTCATTCAAATAGTTACCTTGCAGCCAATAAAAATAGCAGATTTCCTTCTGCTCTCCTAGGAGAGGAGGGATCATGATCTCAGCCTTTGTCCAAACCCCATTATCTTTGGAGTATATGGGCTGGAGAACAATCTTAGGTGGTTGTAAAAGTCTTAAAATTCAAAGTCATTCAACTGCAAGAACTTCCACAAACAGTGTGCTCCGGATTTGGGGCTAAAATCTTATCGTTGCTGTCTGGAACAGGTTTATTTGAAATCACAAGTTTTACGAAAGTAGCTACTTCATCAGGTGATGAATCAGCAGGGCTTAGAAAGCTTGTGATTTCAAACAACCCTGTTACACTATAACCTGGTGTCATGTGACTTCTGATTTGTCCACCCCAGTCCAACACCGACACTTCCACATCATTTCTGGAGCAGGCAGGTGAAGTTTCTGGTCAGGAATTCACTGCTTCTTTTCTCTTCTGTCCACCACAGTTAATTTTCTGGCGATTGTTATCCTTTCCCGGGGCAAGTGTGGTGTTTCCCCTTGCACAACATGCTACCTGGTGGTTATGGCAGCTGCCGATCTGATGCTCATTATCACCGATGTTATACCGAACGGAGTTCAATCTTATTATTCCCGGAGGTCTTTCCTGGACCTCACTCCTATATGTAGTGGTATCGGGGTCCTGGTACGTGCAGCCAGGGACTGCTCTGTCTGGTTCACCATCACTTTCTCCTTTGACCGATTTGTGTCCATTTGTTGTCAGAAGCTGAAGACAAAATATTGCACTGAGAAAACTGCAACTGTCGTTCTAGTAACAACATGCACCCGATTCTGTTTGAAAAACATCCCCTTCTATTTTTCATATGAGTCTATGAGGCTAATCAACAATGTGCCATTTTACTGTAAAACGAACTCAAGCTACTATACTGAGACTTGGCGGGTGGCATTAGATTGGCTTGATACAGTTTTAACCCCTTTACTGCCATTTCCTTTAATCCTGTTGCTCAATGCTGTGACAGCCAGACACATTTTAGTGATCAGTCGAGTCCGGCAGAGGCTGAAGGGTGAGACCAAAGGAGAGAATCGCAGCGACCAAGAGATGGAGAGCAGAAAGAAATCTGTGATTTTACTCTTCACCGTATCAGGGAGCTTCATCCTCCTGTGGTTAATCTATGTTCTATATTTCTTATATTATTTCATTCAAGGATTTGATTCTTCAGAGTATTCGCTTTTTCTATATGACTTCAGTAAAGTTGGTTATATGCTGCAGAACCTAAATAGTTGCACAAGCACATTTATTTATATAGCAACATTGCCAAGGTTCAGATCTAAGAGGAATAACACAGTAAAATCTCTTGTTACACAACTTCCTTGCATTATAAATAAATAAAACTGCCCACTGAAGCCCACAGGATGGATCTATTATTTCCATACCATGACTTTTTCTTTTTATTCACTCATGAGATGTTTCATCACTGGCTGGGTCAGCAGTTACTGCCTATCCTTAGTAGACCCTTGAGATAGTGGTGGCGAGCTACCTTCTTGAACCGCTACAGTCTACGTGCTATTAGCTGAACAACAACGGCCTTAGGGAGGGAATTCCAGGATTTTGACCAAGCGACACTGAAGAAACGGTGATATATTTCCAAGTCAAGATGATGAGTGCCTCGGAGGGGAACTTGCAGGGGGTGGTATTCCCATGTATCTGCTGCCCTTGTCCTTCCAGATGGAAGTGGTCGCGGGTTTGGAAGGTGCTGTCTGAGGATCTTCGTTAAATTTCTGTAGTGCATCTTGCAGATGTTACACACTGCTGCTACTGAGTGTCAGAGGTGGAGGGAGTGAATTTTTGTGAGGTTGTTCATCATATGTACATCAGCTAGCAGCAAAACACCACGACGAACTCTCCTTAATATCGATACACTCAGACAATGATGGCCATCAGTTTATCTGGGACAAGGTAACCGTAGTAGCCCAAGCCAAACATGGACATGCAGGGGAATTCCGAGAGGCATAGTTTTCCACCCGTAATTCAATCAACAAATATACAGAATTGGATCCCATATACAAACCCATACAAACCAAAACTGGAAATGACACTACTCACCAGAACGGGCTGGACAGTATAAATTCCAAGTCGAGTAGAATAATATCGCTTCAGCGGATGCTCCACTGATGATGTCACCTGGCATGGTGACGAAACGTCTGAACAAGAACAAGCCACCTCGGCGAGCAAATCATCAACCTCACCCAGAACCCGAGCTACAGGTCTTTGCCAAAACTTGAAGTGGATGTTTGTGAATATGATGCCAATCGGGTTGGGGCTGCGTTGTGCTGGATGGTGTCGAGCTCGTTGAGTGTTGTTGGAGTTACACCCATTCAGGCAAGTCGGGAGTATTCCATCACCCTCCTAACAGTGAAGGGAGAGAGTTGATTCTCCCATCATAGCCCAACCCAAATGAATTATTGAAGAAATGGAATTTCCCACTTGGTAGTTCTATCATCTCGGAACTCACTGTAAGTCTCTATCAAAATCAAATCATCCAGAGGGCTCTCATGAAATTAATTAGGATAGTTAATCAGAAAATGTTCCACTAGTAAATATGTGGTCTCGCTCCTCAATTAAACAGACGCCAGACTAATGGCACATGCAGCCAACATATGAGCTGTTTCGGTGTCCGAAATTGTGTCAGAACCTACGCACCAAACAAATGGTTAGGCTCCCCACTTTTCAGCATCACGTTTCCCAATTCCAATGGACTGCTCCAATGTAATCCTATTTGAAATTTCCCATCATAGGGTGAAGAGTCAAAGTAGTACAAACAAGTTCCCAAGTGTTGAAAGTGTTACAATGCCACCCTCTGTTAGCCACCCGACAGCACTGCACAGCGGGTGGTAAACAATAAAAAACGCTCAAATCAGAGACGGGGAGAGGGAGGGCAGCAGCTTACAGAACCATCCAAACTGACAGTACATTAACACACATACGGACACAGACCCAGGCACACACAGGCAAACCACACACATCCACTTCCCCTCCCCGCCAAACACACAAACACACAGGCGCACACACACACACACACACACACAAGGCTGGTGTGGAGTGGATTGAAATTGTACTGAGGTCCCTCAGTGTCAAATACTCTCATGTGAAGAAACACTTGTGCTCCCTCAGAGATGTGGAAAATATTTGTTTTTGAGCAAATTTTCTGACATTGTACGCGTTAAGTCGATTGTTTCCACTGTTGTTTCTGCAGAGGTGTGGGGAGTCCAGCAGAGTGTGACATTGTATCACTTTAAACATGAGAGGGTCTCTCTCTCTCTCTCTTTCAAACACATACATACACACAGAGATGCGTGCACGCGAATGATCACAGGGGACTGATGGATTTACATTGTCTGACACACAAGCAGAGACACGCATATGCATAAAGACCCGTCAACCCCAGGGAGATACATTGTTTCTCTCAATGATGTACACTCTCATGCACACACACCCACAGACACACATGCACGGAAACACACGCACAGACATACACACAGACATACGCACAGTCACTGTCCACCCAGATACATCACGAACCTCTCTGTTGCTGTCACTTTCGATCCAGATATATCACTGACTTCACTAGTTTTGTCTCTGTCCACCCAGATGCATCTCTCACCTCGCTTTTACTGCAACTGTCCATCCAGATATATCTATGACTTCACTTTTATTGTAACTTGCTTCCAGATGCATCACTGACCTCACTGGTATTGTCACTGTCCATTAAGTTATGTCACTGACCTCACTGGTATTGTCACTCTCCATTCAGTTACATTAGTGATCTCACTCTTATTGTCATTGTCTATTCAGGTACCTCACTGACCTCACACATATTGTCACTCTCCAGCTAGATCAATGTTAACTCTGAAATGTTGACTCTGCGTTTTCTCTCCTCGCACTGATGCTGCCAGATCTGCTGCGTTTCTCCAGCAATTTCACTTTTTGTTCAGATCTTCGGCATTGACCATTCTTCGCTGCATTTGAAGTTCACCACACTTGTTCCTGGGTATGTGGGGTTGTCCTACGTGCAGAGATTTGGAAATTTACGCCTTTATTCTCCAGAGTTTTGAAGAGTGGAAGGTGATCTCATTGAAATGTGAAAGAACGATTTAAGGGACAGACAGATAGCACATTCCCCCTGTTTGGAGAGTCTGGAAACGGGAGGACAATTAATAAAACTGGTCCGTGAAAAAGGACATTTTTCTTCATTTTAATCAGAAGATTGTGAACGATTGGAATTCACAAAGGCAGGGTGCTGTGGAAACTCAGCATTTGATTATGTTTAAGGCAGAGGTTAATAGATTTCTAATTCCCACTGGGCTCCATGGTTGTGGAGATAGGATGACTAAAATCTATTGATGTATTCCAGAGGCCATGATTGAATTGAATGGGGGAGCAGGCATGATGGCCCGAATTCTCACTCAATTTCTTATATTCTTAAACAATGTACCTCTAAACCTGAGACTGTGCTGCCTGATCATGGAATTAACAGCCAAAGGAATCATTTGATTCACATTTACTTTTGAAACATTTTGTAAAGTTCAATGAGATTGTCTCTCATTCTTTGAAGTTGTACAGAGTACAGGGCTTTTTTCCACAAATCATATGTACCCTCCATATTAACTTTGTCGTCAATTTCTGCTGAATTTCGCTTCTGCTGGATCTGTTGCTCCATTCCTTCATGTACCTTTGTGATGTATTTGGTAATATATTTGACTCTTCTCATTCACGATCAGTGACTTCTCTGGCATTTACAAAATGAGAACGAACCAGCATAACACAAAGCTGAAGAATTGTGGATGTTGGAAAGCCAAACCAGAAATTTCCCGAGAAACACAGCAAGTCAGGCAACACCTGTGAACAGAAAGCAAGGTTTACCGTTTCAGATTGAGTGACCCCTCTCAGAACTTATTGCAGAGAGGAAAGGCAGTATTTGTGCTGAATATAGAGGTGGGAAGGAAAGGTAACAGAGGGCGGTTGAGTGACTGATAGGTGGAGATGGAGACCAGAGAGACAGAGAGAGCAGTAATGGGGCAGATAAAGGGAGAAAGAAAAGATTCTAACGGGGATCACTAGAGTTTGAAATTGGGTTGATTGTGATGAAAGCAGTCAGCGTGATGACAAGGACGGGGGTGCTGGGGCTGGGTAAAAGTCATTGGAATAAGTTGCTCTGCCTTTAAATTCATTGAATTTGATCTTGAGTTCTGAAGCTGGAAGAGTCCCCCAGTGGAAAATGAGGTGTTGTTCTTCAAGCTTGCACTCTGCTTTGCTGGAGCACTGCAGCAAGCCCGAGATGGAGATGTTGGCCAGGGAGCACAGTGGCTTCTGAAAATGGCAGGCAAATGGAAGTTCTGGGTCACGCTCGTTGGCAAAACACAGTTGTTCCACAAGTCGGTCGCCCAGTCTGTGTTTTGTCTCCCCCAAATATAGAACAGACCAGCGAATATGAGCAGCAAATACAGTGGAATGTATATACCAATTCCTGACTGACCAATAGACTTGGTGAGCTCAGTTGGCCAGCTCACAATGCAGAGTGACGCCAACAGCATGGGTTCAATTCCTGCCCCGGCTGAGGTTTCCATGCAGGCCTATCCCTTTCTCTGAGGCATGCTGACCCGCAGGTTAAACCACCATCAGGTGTTTCTCTCTTATGGCAACATCACCGGTGACCAATTTTAAAGAACGATCTCGCCGGCTGTCCAGCAGAGAGCTTGTTTAAGACTGCTTCTGCCTGGAAGAAAAAGTGAACTACAACACAGTAAACTCAGTTGAATGCTTATCGCAACAATGCAATGCTAGATTCTATCTATTAAAAGACTTGTGTGGCTAACTCTCTTACTCACCAAATGTAGGATCTGACAAACAAAAACAGAAAGTGCTGATTAAGCTCAGCATGTCTGGCAGTCTCTGTGCAGAGACAGAAGCAGTTAATATTTCGGGTTCAGTTACACGAACACACATTTACTGCGCAAATGAAGCGAATTACGCAATAGAACACGTGCTAATTATGTAAATGAACATAAGTTATTACACAAATTAACGCACGTACATTAAATAAATAAACATGAGTTTATTCCACAAATGAACAAATTTTT